CCGCGTCATTAAAGCCCACAAAGTGGTGCTCAGCTCCGGCTCGACGTACTTCAGGGACATATTCGCCGCATTCAAGAATCCATTGCAGGTCCCGGTCCTCATCATCAAAGACATGACTTTCCGGGACCTGAAGGCGATCGTCGACTTCCTATACCGCGGCGAAGTTGTCGTACCTGTGGAACAGGTGTCCTCACTCTCCAAGAGTGCTCAGACACTGTTCATCAAAGGTCTCGAAAAGTATTTCAATAACGCGGCGGTCGTTAATGTGGCCAACAATCAGACGCCGAGAGGGGCGGCAACTGTTGTGTCGGCGCCGACCGCTCACAACACTGCAGCTAAACGATCTTTGGGCTCCACTTCTTCCGCAGTGAAGACTAATATTAAGGCCGAAAGTCGTGACAACGGAAGCGGTGGTAAACCACTGGCGAAACAAAACTTGTCGCCCATCTCTGCGAAGAAAACAAAAAGCAAATCAAAGAATACACCGAACAATACACCGAATACTGAGACCAAACAACCCGTTCGCACGAGTTTGAGGAATACTCGGCGACCAAACTATAGACAATTGTCTAACGGAGACTTCAATAGCGATGACGAGTTTATGACTGACGATATGCCACTCTTTGATCCGAGTGTCGCCTCTGGAAGCGCTTCAACACAAGTGACATATAAGAATCGAATGTCTAGAAAAGTGAAACAAGAACTCCTCTATAATGATGACTACGAAACGGAAGACGGAATGCCAACACTCGAGGCGCAGGAGTTGTCTCAAGAATCGGATGTCTTTCAGAACAATGACGACGAAGACATGTATCCACGAGTAGAATACGAGTCCAATGATTACGAAGACAATATGGAGGATCTGGAGCCCAATGAAGGCACGTCTTCACAGGACTATACGGTTGATGAGTTGGTGGACGCTATGGAACCGCGCGGTTTGATCCGGAATCCGGTTCAAGTGATGCCGCGAAGAGTTAACAAACCGTTTGTCAGTCGAAACCGA